GGAGCGGACATACAGGCAGCCCGGAATGTGAGAGCCAATCAAATACCAGTTGACTAATGATGCAAAAATAAACGGTACAATGAATAACCTCGCCTCCTCTCCCCCCCCTCCCTTCTAGAGAAAGACTGAAGCAAACCGGAGAGGGAGAGAGTGATGAGTTAACAAATTGATTAAAGGATGGCGGTCCTGAAGTTTTGGAGGAATTTACGTCCGCACGCACGCATGTACACACACAAATGTCAATTCGACCGCCGCGAACGATTTCCTACCATGAGTTTCAGGGCTGAGCCAAGTTTGCGTGTCCCGTCCAACGACGGCGCTAACTGAGTGAGCACGACTTTCAATGCAGCATTAAATTAAATGTTCACGATTACAGACCACGTTGCGCATATGATGGACACAGATATTATTTTATAAGTTTTTTGCATTCCGAACTTTATATGTTTTGCAACTGAGCAGGAGGCAATAAACGACTATATTAATGAGTTAAAAGTCTTGCAAGATTCCCACGGACAGAAAAACTGCAGGCTACAGCCTATCTAACCTGGCCCAAGAGTTTTCGTCTCGACTGGAGAAGATTTTGGCCGCCACTTGATCACACTGCCAAGTGCCCCTCCAAACTTCACCGTAGCGACCCTCGCCAATACGCTCCTCCAGTTGGACTTGTCGAGCTACGGTTCGCTGAACGAGTAACGGCAGGCCAGAGCCGGAGCCGCTACCAGTTGCGTCGAGCAAAGCGCGGAGAGAGATCTCTTGTTGGATCGGCATCCCAGAAACTCTGCCAGCACTGCCCATCAGTTGACTGCTCACTATGGTTCCAGAGCCAGATCCCAGTGCATAGGAGTTCGTCGTCGTTGCTGTAGTGTTGCCGCCGCCGCGAGAAATAACGTCGGATACCTTTGGCACGGGAATTGTAAAGCTTGGGTTGTTGTTAAAGGAGGGGTTCGGTATGTTCGTGGTAGCACTGCCGCTGCCCAATGAGGTTATCATTGAAGGCGGACCGCTGAGGTAGATGCCCTGCTGAGTGCCAAAACTGGCTGCGATGGAAGGGACAGTGTTCTTGGTGATTAGAGGATCACCAGCTGAACCTAGGCCATTAGGGTTCGATATCCACGCGCAGGTGCCCGAGGGAGAGCTCTGTGAGTTGCGCCTTGCTTTTGAGTGACCTGCGTAGCAGAAAAATAAGTATGGGAAAACTGTCAAAATTGAGTACCATCTGCCAATAACTGGGTAAATAGTTGCTGATTTTAATTGTTCCGACAATCGGATATAGCATCGAAGGGACCACTTTGTAAAAAAGAAATAATTCGTGGAAAAAAACATGAAATATAAAACTGATGAGACGAAAGCAGCTAGTTGAGTGTGCGTGCGAATTGATCGGTCAAGCAGAACGTAATAACAAACTGTGTGGTATTACAGAGTTAACGTCGAAGTTGCTTTTGCAGGTGAGAGAAACAACAGACGCACACAAAATGGAAGTGAAAACGCGAACATGAAGTAAACTGGCGGGCAAGAGGTAGCTGAGACGATGAAGCGAAAACGGGAAAAATGAAACTGGAGATTATGGTAGTAGCAATTATGACTAAGTAGACCTTAAAACGGTTAAGGACTGAGAGAGAAAGAGGAAGACAAATTGTGAGAGACGACTTGCTATTGAAGCATTATTCTTATGGGGAAATTAGGGGG